GGAAAGGGACCAGAGGAAGAAGGATGTAGAGGAAAGGGACCAGAGGAGGAAGGATGGAGTGGAAAGGGACCAGAGGAGGAAGGATGGAGTGGAAAGGGACTAGAGGAGGAAGGATGGAGAGGAAAGGGACTAGAGGAAGGAGGATGGAGTGGAAAGGGACTAGAGGAGGGAGGATGGAGAGGAAAGAGACTAGAGGAGGAAGGATGGAGATGGAGCTCAGCCATGNTGTAGAAGAGACATGAAGAAGAGGGGACACATGTTGATGTAGAAGAGACATGAAGAAGAGGGGACACTTGTTGATGTCCACAGAGGGGACACATGTTGATGTAGAAGAGACATGAAGAAGAGGGGACACATGTTGATGTAGAAGAGACATGAAGAAGAGGGGACACATGTTGATGTAGAAGAGACATGAAGAAGAGGGGACACATGTTGATGTAGAAGAGACATGAAGAAGAGGGGACACATGTTGATGTAGAAGAGACATGAAGAAGAGGGGACACATGTTGATGTAGAAGAGACATGAAGAAGAGGATTTTGCATAATAGGTGACCTTTAAGTATTCTGAGCACATTATCACACGTTCAAATGTGTTCAAGTGTATGTGTGTGTGCGTGTGCGTGTGCGTGCGTGCGTGCGTGCGTGCGTGCGTGTGTGGATCCCTCTCATACCCTGTCCGAAGCGTCCTGTCTTATGGATCTCTGCAGCTCCTCGGTATCCCAGCATCCGGCACACCACGTCTCCGTCCTTCTGGTCCCAGACGTCGTCACAGATCGTCCCCCAGCGACGCTCGTGGAAAACCTCCACGCGACCTTCATGAAGACCCGACCCGTTCACCAGCCGCACCAGCGTCTCCTCCACTGCAACACACACCATCTCACGTTAACATAATGATCTGTGTGTGTGTGTTAATGGGGAGGAATTTATACACATTTTTATTGCATTGGCCGACTGTTTTTAAGGCATTTATTGGAGTCTACGTGCAATGAAATGTTTGAAGATAACATCATCACGTTCCTTAGTTTGCAGAAAAAACGAGTCTTTGTTATTTATTCCAACACGACTGCAGTGAAAGAACACATGACTCTCTTTTATCCTTCGCTTGTTGGCCTGACTTAACACTCACACTGAGCAGATGATTTTCATGGTGAGTGTTTATGAGTTTAATGAAGGCCTGTAAATCAAACCAATTTGAAAACAAAAGAAGATGAATAGGTTCTTTTCAACATGAGTCAAGACATTTATTTTTACAAAAACCACAGAAAAAGGCTTCGAGCCAAAAAAAAAAATCATTATTTTTGAGAGAGGGAACCTTTTTAGTGAACACGTTTTTTTTGCAAGAATGCAGCGTCGAAGTCCTGTCTAAAAGTCACTTTTCAGTGGTTGCTGAACATAATGACCGATAGTCTGGCAATAATCTCGTGTATTTGACAGCGTAGCGGTTGAAGGATTTTGAAATTCATAACTTCCTTCTTTAAAACTTCATGCATCTGGTAGCATTTATCCAGTGACCTTATTGGACAAACCCCAGTTAAGTCACTGGTCCCTGAAATGAAACGCAAATTGTTTTTTTTCCCACTTTTCCTGCATTTCAACATTCAATACATAACTTTTTTTTTTTATAAACCTGGGAGGTACTTAGGTTAGGTGTTAACAGTCTTTAAAATAAGAATATCTTTATTGTCATCATGTTTAGGCACATAATACAAGCACAGCAATGAGAAGGCACTGTTAGACTAAATTAAATGAAATGTACTTAAAAATGTGAATACCATTGAATAGAAAAAAGCAACCGTAAAGAGGAAGGTGGTGAGAGTCAGATTTCTCTCTGAAGCATGGAGAACTCTCATTTACAAGAAAAGGTGGAATTAATATTGCTAATATTGTTTGTCATACAAGGTTTGATAGTGCCTGATTTTAACTCAGTACACAAATTGGGGTATAAAATGTAAGACCTATTAAAATACAAAAGTGTTTAGTTTGAGCATTTTTGCTCGATTCAGGGTTTTAGTGCCACACCAAAGAACTTGTAAACAAGAACGTACTGTAACTACACTACAGTCACAATAAAGAGTGCAAATGTGTGTGTGTGTGTGTGTGTGTGTGTGTGTGTGTGTTTGTTTATATTAGCAGAGGCTTCATGGATCCACATTATCTCGTATCCCTGAAACTATGCAGCAGCTGCTCGTATAATTTACTTGATTTAATACCTTTCAGAGTGCATAAAGAAAAACAGAACACACACACACACACACACACACACACACACACACACACACACACACACACACACACACACACACACACACACACACACACACACACACACACACACACACACACACACACACACACACACACACACACACAGCAGGAGAGTGAAGCCAGACAGGATATTGGTCTCATCAGACCATCATGCATTTTAAGTGTGTCCTCTGTTACTCTCATTAGAAAGTCAAGCACTTTGTACTCACTGGCCCATCATAATTTAATAACTACAATAATATTACACTATCATATCTGCTGCACATATTTGTATCGTGTTCCTGCAGAAGAGCAGAAAATCCAAACCAGACCTCAGAACCTCCTGTTGCTCCTTTTCCTAGACAATACTGAAGGTAAGGAGAGCAACAAGTGCTGAAAGTAGCACATAGGTCTTCAGAAAGGAATGAGTAATTGAATACTCAATTACGTGAAACAGATGTTCAATTATTTATTATACAAAACACTCCTTCCTTTCAAATTCCTATGAAGTTGGGTAAAACCTGGAAGACTCTGCTGGCATGAGGTAAAGAGGTGTCGGTCATTAATACTTATTTAAACTATTATTTTTACTGAAATATGAAACTTTGCTTTTACATATCCTTCTTGTGACATCAGAGAGAAATCTGCTCCAACAGCAGCAGAAAATAACTATTTTCCGTACTTGATGCATGGTTCGCAATTTCGTTTTTATGTAATTTTTGCATCTTATTTATGATTGGTGTTGAAATAATATGTACTGTACACCTTAATGTTGCATTTAGAGAAAATTCAGCTATTTTTTTATATTTACATATTGACTGGTAGAAGGTGAATTTCATTTAGCATTATTAATCTGAGTCTTTCACTAAAGTTGTAAACACAATATTTCCCTTTGAGATGTGATGTAGTGAAGTAGAAAGTGTAAGAAAACAGATTTACTTGAAGCACAATTTTGAGATAACGCTAATTAACTGTACCTTCATTTTGCATTTGGAGAACGTTCAGCTATTGTTTTAGTACATATTAGACATAGAGTCTTTCACTAAAGTTGTTGAATAAATGTAGTGGAGTAAAAAATACAACATTTCCCTTGAGATGTAGAAAGTGGTCGATAATACATTTACTTACAATTTTGAGATAACGGTAATTGACTGTACTTAAGTAAATGCACCATTTACCTTTCCACTGATGTTTCTGTAAGTGAAAAGTTATCTAACAATGTTATCAAACAAACCCTATCATCCATCTTATCACATGTATGGCCATATGTTTCACATCTTTGTAGTCTTAGTTAGCACATGTTTGAAACCCCTGGAGACAAGAATCACCACTTTTTTCATGTCTCTCTCACTCCATTCATCTTTCAGTCTCTGTGAAGTGCCTAAGGCTCCCCACTGTACAAATGAGAGACTCTGGGGAGAAGAGGAAGAGGAGGAGGAGGAGGAGGATGGAGGCAGCACATGTAGTCTTTAGAGATAATGAAAACCATACATGCAAACTTCACAGGACATTCATATCTCTGCAGAGAAGAGCTGGACTGCAACATATTGGAGATGTGCTTAATTATGTGAACCCGGCGGTGGGGAGCTTGATTTATTTTGCCAGAAACTCTGGTTTAAGCCTGGATGATGCATGACAAAGATATTTTGGAGCTGAAATGTTTTAAGTAGGGCTGTCAAACGATTAACATTTTTAATCAGATTAATCACAGCTTAAAAATTAATTAATCATGATTAATCACCATTCGAACTATGTCCAAAATATCCCATTTCTTTATGTATATTGTTGTGGGAATGGAAAGATAAATGAAAGAAGGCGGATATATCCATTTAACATAAGTAGCCATATGTAACTATCCTATGTTTATTATAAAATTGTTCTGTGTGTCAAAATGAAAGACAACCCACACACCTATCAATCATCAAACGGTGGGGTCTTATTTCATTACGTGTTGATTTCTATCAACACGTAATGTTGTATCGATGTATATAGAGATGTACTACAGCAAAAGTATTCTCCGTCAGGACTTCCTGCAACAACACCACGCCGTTATCTTGATTCTGATTGGCCAGAAGACATTATCAAAGATGTTCTATTGAGAAGACGATCACTACGTGACAAAAGTTTTCAAAACCGTTTCTCGTCTTCGGTATTTCCAGACAAGTGACTGCTGAAATCAATCTTACTAACTGCTGTCTGTGCAATTTACTCGGCGCGAGTTGGCGGACTTTATTTTGCTTACTTTAACATTATTTTTCATGGTGGGGCTAAGCCATTTTTTGGTATGGCTGTAGCCTACCCCAGCGCTGCCACTGGTGGGATGTATGGAGCGGGCCATTCTGCACATGCGTTAAATGCGTTAAATATTTTAACGTAATTAATTCAAAAAATTAATTACCGCCGTTAACGCGATAATTTTGACAGCATTAGTTTTAAGATAAATTCAAGAGCACAAGTGTGAGGAATAGTTGTCCAGCTTACCATCTACAGCAGTAACACTCCCACCATTTTATAAGAGTATCTTTTTAGATGTTTTTTCCATCTGGACTGACAATGCAATATAGCCTTAGCCTGTTAGCGTAATGCTACATAGCCTTTGTAGCCATCAAGACTCGTTTAATGTAACTTGAAGTTAGGGTGAAGCCAAGTCCATTAAATCAATCATTACATTATGGAGCAGATCTCATCACCAGGCAGACACAGGCATTATGTTTCAGTTATATGAACCTTACAAGATAAGACTTTTCATTTTCATTTCTTTGCTTTTAAATGAGTGTTTTTAAATGCCATTTTATAATGTGTTTCTTAACGCTCTTAATGTAATGAATGAATGAATGAATGAATTGCCTTGTGTTGAAAGGTGCTATATAAATAAACTTGCCTTGCCTTAAATACAATACAAACTATAATCTTAGACAGGTAAATGTGCCTCGTTTAACTAAATATGTGTCTTACCGGAGCAAAAGTTTAACAGGTGATGAAAACATTATCTGGTTTTCATTCACCTTCTATCAAAATATAAGAATATAAATGTAGCTGTTAAACCTGTGGTAAAAAACAGTAAAAGGCTGAATTCAATCAATCACTTGGAACTTAAGTTGATGTACTTATTAAGTATAATTTGGTACGGTAGTCTGTGTGGGGGAAACTTCTGAAGCAATTGGAGACAGGACTCAAAGAGAAACGATGGAGAGCTGGAGCTTTGATGTCAAACACTGACGGTTTATTTAGAGCTACGGCCGGAGAATTCACAAGACATGTCACGGATGAGATGCCACAATCAATTCTGAAGCACCTTTCTCTCGTAGGACCTTTTAACTAGTTTGCTTTGAGGGTAATCAACATTCTTCACTAGATAGACTAAACAGCTGGGGACACCGAATCACATTTGTTGTCGCTTATGGCTCGGGGTCATCTACACCCCGAGAAGGATGTGTTCCAGGTGTCCCACAACGTTTACCATCTCTGACCGACAGTTGCCCGGTCGAAAACTGGTAGCAACAACAACTTGCTAGGGCAGCCCCTCCTTAAGGGAGATAGCGGCTGCTCAAGGTTGGTCATCAGGGCAAAGGAGGACATCTATGGAAATGATTCCCTGACAGTCTGTAGTGACCTAGCTGAGGGTCATCGGTTCTATTCCCTATCAGACAAAAGGTCCTGGTTGTGCATGTGTGTTTTTTGGGCCTATATGTGTGATGTAACGTAAATAACACCAGATTGAATAATATGTCATAATCCTGACTTTTTACAGCTTGTGCAAAACAATGCATGAGTTCGAAAAGTTGACAACCAAACCAAATTCTTCTGTGAGACATAATGCATACGCTGAAAGATCCTGTCTTACTTATCCGTATATATGTATATATATATTTAAAGCTCATGTTCACCTTGGAACACCAGAGCATTTTCACCATAAACTCAAGAACTTGGACCACACTTGACATTTCATAGCAAGCCTTCCTGTGCTTCGGATATAATGATGACTGTTATCGTCCAGGGGGAACCGGACGAGCGAGATCCAATAATTTGGTTGGGGTCGTCCAAGGAGGTTGTTGAGTCTGGGGAAGTGGGAGGGGGTTTGGGTAGTGAGGGGGGGGGTGTTAAAAGACTGGTGGGAACCTGAGGGACAGCCAGAACAACGGAGCGTACCCGTGTTTCTAATGTGTATCTGGCAGGAAACGCTCTGGACTGGACACTTTGGCTGTCCTGGACAAAATGTAAACGAGCTCCATGTGTTCAGAAAATGTCGCTCTCCTCCAATCTCAGATGCCTTTCGTCCTTCACATTGTGTCCCGTCGTTATGTGCTGCTTTTATTACATTACATTGATGGTTTCTTCTTCCTGTTTAGTGCAATTTGTTTGCTTCTTAATTTGAATTTCTTGGCCATGCACATCCATCCATTTGGCCGGACAATACGAAGCATCAGTTTGAAGTCTGTTTGTGTGCTTTCATGGTGGTCTTTTTTTTACATTTTGATGGCAATAGTTCAATAATTAAGTGGAAATGTCCTAAGTTTTGCCAAATTAAAAATGTTTATAAATAGGCGGAATTGAAAAGTGTTGTGAGTCTGTTTCTTGTAGGTCCTTCGCGATGTGATACCTTGTGAAATGTTCAATCCAAATTTTCCTTCTCCCTATAAGGGATTAAAACTGCAGTATTATTTCTTTAATACGTATTTTAATTCCGCCCGCTATCACTCCGTCCATTCTCACGTTTTAGATTACTTCCCTTATATGACCGTGTCTTCTGTTTACCATGTATATTGTTCACGCTCATATCTGGCCATTCTGGCATTGTGTTGACTTCGCATTAATTGGTTATCTAACGAATTCCTTTCTTGCTTGCAACTATAGTCAGCTTGTTTTTTATGTCTTAGTATGTATTGTATCTGTGAATTGTTGGAGGATTAACTAACGCCGCTGAGGCATATGTGTTATTTGACGATGCACGGTCTTTTATTATAAGTGGCGTTATGAAAAGGCTCAGCGTGAGTTCACCAGGAAGAAGAACCGTCCTTTTACTCTCCATTTACTATTCGCCATGTAACTAGCTCTGCCTGCTCTCTCAACATAAGTGATCAGGGCGNTTCATTGAATTTTGGATGATGTAGTCAACTTTGTAACAGAAATGGTGGTCAAAAATGACCGCCATAAAGAAAAGGAATTAGTAACCATCCGGATCAGATAAAACACACACACACACACACACACACACACACACACACACACACACACACACACACACACACACACACACACACACACACACACACACACACACACACACACACACACACACACACTTTTTAACCCTCCTATTGTCTTAGTTTTCCCCCCCTTACTTTGGTGTTCATGGTCAAATGTGACCGGTCCTGTTTTAAATGCTATTACATTAACACAAAAACCATTAATCATCACCACATTTCATTTAACACCCTTTCAAACTGTACATATTGTATCAGACTACTGGTATACATGAAAAACTGCAGTAAATATACAAAGAATAGACACTGAACATGTATTGCGTGTGCCAGGTGTGTGTGTGTGTGTGTGTGTGTGTGTGTGTGTGTGTGTGTGTGTGTGTGTGTGTGTGTGTATCACTTCCAATCTCTCTTGCAATATGTCAACTGTCAAGTGAAAATTACACAAAATGGCCTAAAAAATGAAAAATTGGGCGTTTAGTTACAAGAGACGCTAGGGAAAATGTCTTTGGGGAATTGTAATCGGCAAATTGCTGGACTTTAGCCTCGGCTAATGATAGACACATTTCATGTCTTCAGCCTTAAAATCTACGCGGTCCAGTAGAGTTTACGATATTCTCAAACATCTGTCCAAATCAGGGGTCACAACATTAATAATGTCTAAAGGATGTTATTTTGCTCTCACTTAAGGCACAATATGTAGCATGTTGACTATCTTCAACCTGGTGCTGGGTGTTACAACAAAACAGCATTCAATCATGTTTTAAAGGGAACATATAGGACCATACAGACATACAGTATACTGGTACTGCATTTAAAGATATATGGAGACAAACTTTTAGGCCATCTGCCAAACATATATACACACATCTTTATATTAATAGAAAGATATCAATCTATAGAGTACACAATAAAAACATGCACAATATAACATTTACAGAATAAAGCAGAATGCACTATGATAGCCTTAACTACTACTATTAAATAAACTATAAACATGGTGTGTGCTAAGTAGTGAAGTTTTGAATCAAAATGTAAATGCAATGAGGTACAGTGTGATATGTGTGATTCAATATGTACAAATGGTGGGTTTTCAGAGTAAAGTAAAATGAAGCTTTGATATTTCTGCTGGCCAGAGATGAGGTGTTGTACAGGGCTCAAGCTGTGATTATTTTAGGCTATTTTGGTGACTTAAGAGACTTCATTATCATTTAAAAGAACATCAATCCAGGTAGAAGAAAACTATTCCCTCTGCTTCTATCAATTTCATAAATCACTTCAATCTGTGGTCCATTTGCGCTCTTTTTTTGAACACTGAAATACCGTTTTTGGTGCTGTCAAAGCGTTCAGAAGAGCTTAAGAAGTTGATCCCTTCAGTTACATAACTTCCCGTATGACAGGTTCACCTCGTGTCAACACCCAACATGTGTGCACAGATTGTTTTTACCCACAACACAAAGCCTCCGCGGTCTTCAGGTCACTCGTTCCGCTAAGTGATTATTTAGGTATGCATTGAATGCTTTGAAGCGTAACACGATCCGAGTCATGCATCAAAAGAGAAATCAGCCACACGAGGGTTGTGACAAGAAAAGTGCACGACGCTGCGGAGATGAGATATTCCTGGCAGCCGGCAGCGTGTGGTCCCAGATTTTCTTTCTCTGAAACCTCAAAGGTCTCTCGTAAAGCAAGTGAGGAGAGAACCGATCCTCGACGGTTCCTCAACAGGCAGGAACACCATCAGGATGGTCGAGGGTTCAAAGTCTACTTGATGTGAACTTTACTCCATCGCTCATCACTTGGAGAACCAGCAAATTGCAAACAGCTGTGGCAACAAAATTATAATTGCGGTTTTGAGGTTTTTTTTTTTTCTACCTGAACCCAGTTCTTGGTGGTTTTGTACGAGGGTTCAGTTACCACCACAAGACATATTTATACAAATAATGGTTTTCAAGTTCTTTTGATGCCATGTGGTTCTTCATTATGTGTCGGAAACCGCGAGATTACGCAAAAGGAAAGCAGATACTGATAATTTGAACTTCCTTTAAAGAGCTCTTTGCAAAACATATCAGGGCCGTTTCTCAATCGCGAGGATGCTTGCTTGGTAGCACATGTCTTCCGAGTCACTTCCTTCAGAAGCTAGGCAAGAATCCTTCCTGGCATTCGCTAGCAAGTGTTCCGCCACAGATTTGGGGAAATTGGTCCGTGCGCAAAGCATTGTGGGGATTTTAAGGACGCAAAGTCTACCAATGTGCAGCCTCGAAATTACCCCCAAACCAAGGACGCGGCCTCGGTGGAATTCCAAGTATGCTGGAGATTGGAACAGTCCTTCGGCGGCACTCGATGACGTAGCATCCTTGAAATATTGGCTTGGAAGCCAGTTTCCTCGAGATTGAGAAACGGCCCAGGTGTAGTAGATGTTTGAGTCATCAGCTCATAATTGTTTTGTCTTATATCACTCTTCGGCTAATATGCACTGATGTATTTGCTTTTATTACAGCCCTGTTTCTCTACTATGACCGTGTGCCGTCAACAGGAGATTATTTTCATTATAATCCACCGTTTTATTTGGTTTTATCGTTTTTTTTTTGGACTTTCAGTCAAATAAAACATATCTTTTAACCATACAATATGCAATTTTCTACTTCTAGTTATCTCTTAATCAAAACAATAACCAAGACCCACTATGGTGGTTTCATGAAGTAAAGTGCAATTATTAAATGTTCATGTAATGACCACCGGAGGTCGTTAACAGACTGAAAAGTGGAGCAAAAAACCTCAAAATTGTTGTACATTTGTTACCCATAATTCAGAGGAGTTTATCAACGCCAGCGTGAAATCATAAACGTTTTTACTGTTGTTCATATTAAACGTTTTAATGTAAAACATGTATGGTGGGTGTAGAGAAATTGGATCGTGAACTTACCACCAGACTAATTAGTGGTTCATTTTGAATGTAACATCATTTTTTCCAACTTGGTTTCCCTAAGGAAGTCAATAAAACACTTCAGTTCTGAATCCTCAAGCAGGCCATGTTCAATTTACTGTTTTAAGACAGGATTACCTGACTCAGTTCTGGTCTGTTAGTGTGCCGTCATCCTACGAGCTTGAAGCAAAACACTTGTAAAGCAACTGAAGCAAAAGAAAAAGCAATGCGCCAAAGAAAAAAACACGAATACGCTGTTTTACAGGCAATAAAAAGCTGTTGAACATATATTTAAGCTCTTACCGGTTTTATCTCCTCGGTCTCCTCGATCGCCCTTCTCCCCCCTGAACCCTCTCTCTCCTCTGTCGCCTGAAGACAAAACAGAAACACACATTCTGACTTTAGAGGAGCAGAAACACATTATTCACCCTTTCCTGTAGTGTGTTTTTCTGCATGTCAATGGTCTGCAGAGGCTACAAGAAGACCAAGAAGATACAAACTTGAAGAAAACAGAATCATATAAGTACATCAGGTTTCATAGAGCCAAAGCCCCTGTCAAACTGTCCCGAAATTGACACCCGATGGACACACGATTAAGGAAATGTTCAAATTCGGCTCTGATCGTAACAACATCGGGCCATTCGTGAGGGCATCTTAAGCCATCGTATGACCGCCGGTGGAGTTTCTCAGGCTCCGGCAGCAACTTCGGGAGCGGTGCTGAGACTGCCAAGGCACACANATCTCTCCAATTTTAAAGGATATTTTTGGTTACTGTCCTATAGTATACATTGGAATGATTTCAAACCTGTTTATCCCAATAATTATAAAGGAGTGCCTTGGAAATATGTGTTTACATAAATTGTGACCAAACCGTTTTAACTCAGACTAAAGTTAACTATCTAAACACTTAGAGTCCTTTACCTCACTGAGCTGCAGTTATCAGCCTCTCAGTCTGGCTGGAGAGGACTCTCCCTCCACATTATTGTAGACACATCTTCTTATATCCGTTAGAGCAGCTAGCACCAGATTCTAATAACAACAGCGCAACAACAAATGAAACGTGTAACCGGGGTGAAAAGGGTGTTACATTTACTTAATTATGAATATTGTTACATCAAGGCCGAAAATTAGGATGAGCACCAACGGTCAAAAATGTTTTTTTCCCTCCCAGAACTGCCAGCGCAGCGCCTCCCCAGGTCTGGCGCCCTAGGCGAACATCTATAACGCGGCTACGGGCCGGCCCTGAGTTCATATCATAGGTTCATATGCAACTCGCAAATATCTTTCTCTCTCTTCTCTCTCCTCTTTTTTCTCTTCTCTCTCTTCTCTCTCTCCCTCTGTCTCTCTCTCAATGTTGGTACGCAAATGCGCCTTTTTTTCAGATGACCCGGTGCTCTTTTTTTTTGTTGCGCACCAGTTATGTGCAGCCCTGCAAATAATCCGAGAAATAACAACAGTTAAATTAAAGATAACAAGAAGTTAACCAAAGGAATAAACATAATAATAATAATTAATGCATAAATGATAAAACACTTTATTTTACTTTAATAATACTTTAATGCGCTTCTATTTATTTGAGAACCATATTCAATACAGGGTCTGTACTTGAAACAGAGTATTTCTACACTGCACACTGCAGTATTGCTAAATCTGAGAACTTTTTCCACCTCTGATGAATTCATGTATTCAAGCATTAAGTCAGGGCTTCACACACACACACACACACACACACACACACACACACACACACACACACACACACACACACACACACACAAGGATTAAGTGTGTTGTGTGTTGGGGAAATGTATTCCATCGCACCTCAC